TGGCTGGCCAGACTTCCAAGCCCCTCACGTCACTCATTTTGTTTTTATAGTCGGGGAAAACACCTCAAAATTTCATACTGAATTGATGAGAAGGAGACACACAAATGAACAGATTGACTTTAAACACTTTTTAACACATTTGCCTTCTGTATCTCGTGAAATTGTCGTATCTTGGGCTCTCCTTAACACTATTTACGTTTCTTTTACAATCCGGAAAAATCAGTATTACGAAATATTCTAAATATATCCAACCTAGTGACGTCATGGTTGGAATTCCACACTAGGTAGAAGGAGGGATATCCTTTCCTCATTATTAAAATCATTCACAGAAATCGTGTATGATTTAGAAATCGGTATTTGTTTATTTAAAAACATAATTATGTTTGCTGTAGATGATTCAAATATGCAATGCTTTCATTTGTAGGTCAACTTTTATGGTAAACAATGGGGATACATGGGATTGGGGAGAGAAACGTCAGTTTTCATTCTTTTCTGTAACTGTATTGTGAATCTCTCCTCCAATACAGGAGCACCTCAAATTGATGAGTAATTATCCACCTAAAGAAAAGTTTCTGTATCTCATCACTTAAAATGTGATATTTATTATATGATAAGTAGTTTTCCATTAAAAACAAATTTTATGTACCAACATATTTATTGTAATGGTAAAAAAAAAATATAAAATTTTCAAATGGCTTTTTGTAGTTTAAACATATTTAAATGGAAATTTAAAACTGAATAGACTTTTCAGTCATCACTTTATCGAGAACAAATTTTAAATCTTAGAGCCCTGTCACAAAAAATGGAGAAATGCCCTAGCTTGCAGTTCAGTGGTATAAAATAAAAAAAAATATATATTGTTGTAGTTATTAAATGATAGAATTCAATTGAATTTTAGATAATTAACTTTCAACTTTAATGAAATGTTTTGAATTAGAAGATGCCAATCTCTTTATTGGTCCAAATTGATTCTATGATGAATTCTTGGCTAAGGAAATGAAATTACATTATTAACCAACAATTAATTTCAATATTATCAATCTTTCTACATGTTTTTGCTCAATCTTTGTATGAAGACTATCAAAAGATACAAAAAAAAATAGAAACATTTGCCGTCTTTTCCTTCAGAGCTTTTAAGCTCTTTGATTAATAAAGTCGCTTCTTGACCCTTCCTGACGCTTCTCGTCTCTAATTAGTAAGACCGAAAATTCGATACACTTGGATTTTATCCTCGTGCAATTTGAAGATGTAAAAACCCGAGAGTACCGAACGTATGAAGTTTAACTGACATTAAGCAGCTTGTGTTTGTGTGGCCCAATGCTAATTAACAGTGATAATATCTTGATTAAACATTCAACAGGTGATCGAATATTAATTACTTGACATGGCTTCTGTTAATGGCACAAATCAAAGATGATTAAAGTAAATAACGGCAGTGATAGAAAAGTGGAATGTTGTTAATGTTGTCAAAGTTTTGATGCCGAAAAAGCAGTTAATAAATAAACTTTCAACTCAGCAAAGAATTGCTCACTATTTCACACTCCAATGCGGAGCTTGAAGCACCTTCAACATGCCCAAGAAGTTCCGAACTGACAGCAGGTCTACAATTACTCAAAGACAATTCACAACCTCCACAGTGTTTAGGTTATCAACTACACAAACTGTTACAAGGATCAAGATTACTTTGGTACAGTGTCAAGTGTTTTAAAGGCAGCCAAATTGGCTTGTACTTTTTACATGACCCAGCGTTCCAAGACCAATACTTTAGTTATTAAAAAACATTAGTCAATGTAATATAGACAGTTCTTTTATAGCTAATATATTTTAAAGTGTTCGAAACAATGGCAGTCTTAAGTTTTTTAAGCAAAATGACTTTATTAATACTTAAATATAGGTCTTTTCCTAATCTAACCATACTTTCAACCACTATCTGAAGCAAGTTGACATCCTTCTAAAATTACCAGACATACATACATAACAAAAACATAGTACTAAGTATAATTATGCCCCGCCGTAGCGGAGGGGGCATTAAGTTTTACCCTTGTCCGTCTGTACGTACGTACGTCCGTACGTCCCACAATTGGTTTCCATTCTCTTACTTGAGTTTGCCTCAACCAAATGTTATGAAACTTATACAGAATGCTTATTACCACAAAACACAGATCAATTTGAATTTTGGTTGCGTCACTTTAACCGTTCTAGAGTTATGCCCCTTTAGAAATGGAAAAATTGCAAAATGTTTAGTTTCCGTACTCTAACTTAAGTCTGCCTCAACCAAACTTTATGAAGCCTTTACACAATACTTATTACCACAAAAATCAGATCAAGTACAAATTTGGGTAGCGTCACTTTTATCGTTCTTGAGTTATGTCTCTTTATAGTGTTGTATGCAAGCGGGGGCATCATCTGTGTCCATGGGGACACATTCTCCATTTATTTTTTTCTCGGAGTTGGACATTGACAATCACAAACAATAATAATATTGGTGACCTGGCATGGTCAGTAATTTTTTTTGCTCAGGGTAATTTTTTGAAAAATAATGACTTTCTTAGAAAGAGTGCACACACTCGAGATGCATTATATAACTCAATGTCTTTGAGATAAATTTCGCACCAAGCCATCAAGATGAACTGAAATGTTTTTTTTTTTTAACTGCGAATAACCACAAATAATGAAAACTAAAATTGACCCTAAATATTCAGATGCGCTTTTTTGAGAATAAATAAAAAACGATTTGGTTTCTCAAAAAAGTCAATTCTATGTTGCTCTCTAGCTGGTAAAATTTTAATTTAAAAGATATTAGAGCATTAATATGATCGTGCAATGATATGTTCTTTTGAAATGCAATGTAGCATTACCATTTCCATACCATAATAATTGAAAAATGTCTAAATATCTTGATATTGTTAGCCTTTCCTGAAAAGTAATCCAGAAATTATTGCGTGCATTTATTATTGCCAATTTTGAAGAATTATTGCCAATTTAGGAAAAGCTACATACAGATATATGTATTTGATATCAGAATGCGAGCTGTTATTATTGCGATACTCCAGTAATCGTGTTATTCGCATTAATAAAAACCTCGCAATAATTTCTGAATTTACAGTATGTTTCCTTATAATCAATCTGGATAATAAAATCACAAAACCTGTAGGTAACTGCCTTTACAGCGCATTCGCGCTTTGGTTATCTATTTTTTGCATTTTTGTCAATATATAGGAGTCAGTTTGAAACTTTAAAAAGCAAAAAAGATCAGCAAAATAAGAACTACAAGTAAGTCAACAAGGCCAAATCGTCACACTAGTTATGGGGTTTATTGCCATAACGTGACGGTTTTGTTTTATCTTAAAACTTTAATAGATAGGTATATACAATCATAAATTGTAAACAGTAAAAATGATCATCGATACAAGACCTGCAAAAATGCTACAAATAAGCAAACATAACTGATTGCAAAAGGAAAAAAAATATACTAAAACGGCATAATATTTACATGGTGAGCGATTCAGGCTTTCATTCAGGATTCAGTGTTCATCTGACGACCAGTTTGAGTGGTTCATCATGTTCATTGGTCATTGTCAGGTTTTTCTGGATTTTGGTCTATTTCTCATACCTATAAGTTATAGGTTCACTACGTTTGGTGTATATATAAGAATAAGAAGATGTGGTATGATTGCCAATGAGACATCTCTCCACCAGTGACCAAATGACATATAAGTTAACTACTATAGGTCACTGTACTGCCTTCAACAATGAGCAAAACCCATACCGCATAGTCAGCTTTAAAAGGCCACAAAATGACAAATTTAGAAAAATTCAAATGAGAAAATAAATGGCCTGATTTATGTACAAAACAATGAACGAAAAATTAATATGATTTACAGCAACAAACAACAACCACTAAATTACAGGCTCCTCACTTGGGACAGGCACATACAGAATTGGTGGGATAAGATAAGAATTTCATATTTCTTGAATTTAAATCAATGATTCCATGAGACAGATGGATATCAAATTAAGTATGCCAATTTTACCTAGCAAGATGTAGATGAAAAAATATAAAGTGAAAGTTAAGGGTTAATATTTATTTCAGTTTTACATTCATCACTTCTTACCAAAGGAACTTGTAAGTATTGGTGAAACCCAGAATACACTATATATAGATATACATGCTTTAGATGTTTCGCTCAACAAAAACGTTTGTATCTTTTGATACCGTTATAAAGACACTTCATTTTCTGTCGATCATAGCTAGTTATTTGTCAGCTGCACTCAATCTCCAAACTCAGCACAAAAAAATCAAAAAATGTTATCTACATACAAAAATAAACTGTGAAGTAAAGGATGTGATTGAATTAAGAATATAAGCTCAACAATTTTAGCTCATCAGTTTACCCAGATTGCCATTGAAGTGTGAAATTGATAATGGGGTATATTTGAAACTCAATTTATTTGCAATTTAGCTCAGTCTTGCACTGAAATATATAAATGAATAGATTTTCCTTGATTTACTGCTGTGGAATTAAATTTGTAATTTAAAGATAAGTTACATCAATTGCTTTACCCCAGAAGGGTATTGTGATAGTGATCTCAGGTCGAAAAATGCTTTTTGAATGTGTCTAGTCATTCACCATTTGAATAAATAAATGAAATGAATGAATAACCTGTCCAGTTAATTGAAATCAATATTATGTGGTCCTTGCATGAACATTGGTGAATATTGTCCTGAGTAGATTTGTATATTGCTGGTGCTTGTAAATGCAATATATATTCTACCAGGGATAATATTTTCACAAAAATCATGCAATAACCCTTTAATTGTAAAGCAAATGTTGTAAAAAGATATTTATAACATATTTTTTTGTCCGTGGTGACATCACTAATTTGAAGCTTTATTTACACCTGTGCATTACTATATGATATATCATTGCACCCAAACTTTTGGTTGTATTCTGTTTGAAATATGTTGTTGCTATTGAATAAAAGAAATTTATTTTCAGCTGTGAATAATAACCCTGATGATGAATATGCCAATTCAGGTCTACAACTGAAAAACTTGAATGAAGAAGAATATGCAAATTCTACAGACACACAGGGAACCTCTGGCCATAATGTAAGTTTACATGTTATCTATATAAATAATTAGAAAACCATTTAGCACATTCAGAATAATTCATTTGACAAAACACTTTCATATGTTTATGGATATAACTGATATTTAACAAAATTTGGGGGTTATATGGGAATCACCATCAGTCCATCTGTCTGTCCGTCCATTCGTCTGTCCGGGGGGTGTTTATATACTAAAGTAAGGTCACTCTGACTTGACTTTGACCTTTGACCACTATGATAGTAAAACCTTGTCCAATTCGTGTCCGTCGCTAAACTTTTGTGCCGGAAAACTTAGGATAACCAAACTTGGATGTAGTTGCATCATGGGTTTGGGATATGCAACATACTAATGTGAGGTTATTCTGACCTTAGGTTGGCCCTGGGCCACTATGATAGTAAAACCTAATCTAATTCGTGTCCTGCTCATAACCTTTGTACTTTAAAACTTAAGTTAATCAAACTTGCTATGCAGTTGAAACATGGGCTTGGGGTGTGTCTTATACCAAAGTCAGTTCACTCTGACATTGACTTTGACCCCTATGAGAATAAAACCTTATCCAATTCATGCCGTATCTTTTGTACCGTTAAACTTAGATTTACCAAACATGGTATGCAGTTGCATCATGGGGTTGGGGTATGTCATATACCAAGTCAGGTCACTCTAACCTTGAACCCCTTCGATAGTTTTACCTTGTCTGATTTATGTCTTGCTTAAAACTTTTGTACCTTAGAACTTTGTATGCAGAAGCATCATACTGACCTTTACCTTGACCTTTAATTTCTTATTTACAGTATACAAACCTCAGACTATGTTCCTTGGTCTGTATAATCTTCCAGAAAGACCTGCCAATAAACATGTGTCAATCTAACACAGAGGCAATGACTGTATAAAACCAATAATCTCAAAACGTCATTGCCTCAATACTAAAATGCATATACAGGGGGTATTAGTCCCGCTATGGAGACAGCTCTAATTTGTTCCTCAACTGGCTTTATAACAAGTAGGACATATTGCCATTGATTCAAACATCTTACATTACCTTTTCAACTCTGTCTAGTCTGAAGGATCAGTGTGAGATGTTACTGTCTTAAACATCAAGAAAATAATGCTAAATAGAGGAGACTTAATACAACTGAACATGATCACAGTCGTATTTAAAGTGTGTAACTTTCATAATTCTCACCAATTTTCCTTTTAACCAACCAAAATGAACATTCCAAATAATATTGTAAAAAGATGGGGATAAAACATGTAAAACAAATTTTTTGTCTTTTTTTTGGCAGTTTTTATTCAACCGCAACATTTTTGCGGTCGTAAAATGGTTTAACGATGTCGTCTTCGTCTTGTCAGACATTTGGTTTCCAGACAATAACTTAATAGTAAATAGATCTCTATGAAATTGTACCACACAGTTCCATACCACAAAAGGAAGGTTGAGATTGATTTTTTGGGTTATTGTCCTAACTGTTTAGGAATTAGGGGCCAAAAACAAGCATTTTTCTTCTTTCAGGACAATTACTTGTGTATAAGTGTATTGATTTCTATGAAATTGTACCACAAAGTTCAATACCTCAAAAGGAAGGTTGGAATTGATTTTGGGGGTTATGACCCAAACCGTTTAGGAATTAGGGTGAAAAAACTAGGATTTTCTGGTTTCCGGTCAATAACTTGAGTATAAGTCAACTGATCTCTATGAAATTGTACCACAAGATTCCATTCCAAAAAAAGGAAAGTTGGAATTGATTTTGGGAGTTAAGAAAAAAAGGGACCAAAAACAATACTTTTCAAATACATTGAATAAATTGCTTATTTCTTGACCAATTTCAATGGGGTTTAATTCAAAGTCTGAAATTCTTGGGGTTCTTTAATGTGCTGAATCTAACTGCGTATATAGTTTTTGGATTTTGGGCCCGGTTTTTAAATTGGTCTACATTAAGGTCCAAAGGGTCCAAAATTTAACTTTATTTGATATTAACAAAAATTTAATTCTTGGGGTCCTTTCATATGCTGAATCTAAACATGTATTTAGATTTTTAGTTTCGGCCAAGTTTTAAAGTTGGTCCAAATTTAGGTCCAATATTAAACTTTTTTTGTATGATTTCAACAAAAATTGAATATATAGTATTAATTGTTCCACGCGTAACGTGTTGCGGGGGGGGGGGGACATGGAAATACCGGGCGTCCGTCAGTCCGTGTGTCTATCCGGTCTTGTTAGCGCTCTCACAGGTACAATTCTTGCCAGATTTTTATAAAACTTATACTATAGGTTGATATCAGCAATATCTCGGACAAATTGTATAATAGTGGCCGATCAACCTTTTTTGAAAGAGTTATGCCCCTTGGAAATGTTAAATTTATGGAAAATGGCCTCGTTAGCGCTCTCACAGGTACAATTCTTGCCAAATGTTTATAAAATTTATACTATAGGTTAATATCAGCAATACCTCGGACAAGTTCTATAATGGTGGCTGATCGACTTTTTTAAAAGAGTTATGTCCCTTGGAAATATTAAATTTTGGGAAAATGGCCTCGTTAGTGCTCTCCCGGGTACAATTCTTGCCAGATAGATAAAATATGTGCAACGCGGGGGACATTGGAACTCTGTTCTTTTATTGGTAAGCTGAATCTAATCGTTTATTTAGATTTTGGACCCCATTATCAAACTGTTCCACATTTAGGTCCAAAGGGTCCAAATTTCAACTTTGTTTGTTTTTGTCAAAAATTGAATATATGAGGTTGTTTGAAACACATTCATTCTGTTTCAGAAACCTATGTTATGTCAAATATTTAATCAAAAGCCAAATTCAGAGCCGTATTGCACAATTAATAGAAATAGTTAGTAGATTCATAGTTAAAAATAGGTATAGCATCAAATTCTAATTTTAGAGAAGAAATTTTGATAAAAATAGTTTGAAATTTACTGTTCATTATTAGATATTATGAAAAATAAGTAAAGGCAAGTTTTATAGATTTTTTAAGACATATTGTACTAGTGATGAATGATATTTTGGAAATTATTTTTTTCATTTTTTATTTTTCGTGGTAGGTTTGTTTGTTATTCTGTATAAACTAATTTTCAGAGTGCTAAATATATATATACATATATATAGATTTTTTTATGAAGCGAACCCCTTTTAGAATGTAGTTATATTGTCCATTAATAAATAAATTAATTAAATACTTGGTGTACTTGGATATGCTGAATCTAACCGTGTATTTTAGATATTGGACCATAATTGGTAAATGTCCAATTTCAAAATTTTTAGTCCTTTGACCACATTTATTTTTTGTCAGAAACCTATGATGTGTCAAATATTTAATCACTATCCAAATTCAGAGCTGTATCAAGTTTGAATGTAGTGTCCATACTTGTCCCAACTGTTCAGGGTTCGACCTCTGCGGTCGTATCAAGCTGCGCCCGATAAGCATGTTATCTTGGTTTGGTTTTAGACGTTTTATGGTGATTATATATGACTCAAATTTTTTTGCTGTCAAATATTGTTATTGATGAATACATTGTAGCTGTAGACAGGTGAATGAAATTAACCTACAGTAACTTATAGCAAAATGTTGTTATAAGGATCAATTTGGGAACCATTTAAAGTGTAAAATATCCCTTATTACTTCTTGCCATCAGGATAGTGTCTACATTTCTGTATCAAAGTCTCTTCAACTTGTATGATGGGATGAAAATAGGTTTTTGTTTAAATAAATCGTTTAATTCTAAATTTCTTGACATAGAACATTATTATGTTTCTAAAGGAAAGGGAATACAAATTCTTTGTAATGGAAACTATTAAAAAATTAAAAAACAACTGATTTCAAAAAAATTGGTTCCTATATTTAATTCCAACGAATAGTTAAAATTAATTGTTCTTGATGAAGGTTAACTAAAATAAGTTTATTTTTTAATGAAAAGGAAGCAAGTCACTTTTGGGATTTTAATTAGTTTAATAAAGTTTCATATGAATTTATACGATTTGATTTATAGAAATTGGAAGAAGTCAACTGTTTCCAATAAACTGAAAGCAGATATGTTAAATTGACATTTTTCAATTGTAAACGTGTTTTATACAGGGATAAATGTAGATCCTGACTTTCCAAAAAAGAATCTATACTTGTTTTTAGCATCTCATCACTTGGGGTCCTGCGTCGTCCGTCGTCGGCGTTAACTTTTTACATTTTGAACTTCTTCTAGAGAACCACTGAATGGAATGAAACCAAACATGGCATGAATGTTCCTTATGAGGTGCTGACCAAGTGTTGTTACTTTGTAGCCGATCCATCATCCAAGATAGCCGCCAGCGGGGGACTTAGTTTAACATAGGACCCTACGGGAAATGCATACAAATGACTTCTTTTAGAGAACCACTGAATGGAATGAAACCAAACATGGCATGAATGTTCCTTATGAGGTGCTCACCAAGTGTTGTTACTTTGTAGCCGATCCATCATCCAAGATGGCCGCCAGCGGGGGACTTAGTTTAACATAGGACCCTATGGGAAATGCATACAAATGACTTCTTTTAGAGAACCACTGAATGGAATAAAACCAAACATGGCATGAATGTTCCTTATGAGGTGCTGACCATGTGTTGTTACTTTGTAGCCGATCCATCATCCAAGATGGCCGCCATCAGGGAACTTAGTTTAACATAGGACCCTATGGGAAATACATACAAATGTCTTCTTTTAGAGAACCACTGAATGGAATGAAACCAAACATGGCATGAATGTTCCTTATGAGGTGCTGACCAAGTGTTGTTACTTTGTAGCCGATCCATCATCCAAAATGGCCACCCGCGGGGGACTTAGTTTAACATAGGACCCTATGGGAAATACATACAAATGTCTTCTTTTAGAGAACCACTGAATGGAATGGAACCAAACATGGCATGAATGTTCCTTATGAGATGCTGACCAAGTGTTGTTACTTTGCAGTCGGTCCATCATCCAAGATGGCCGCCAGCGGGGGACTTACTTTAACATAGGACCCTATG